CTCACAACCCTGAGATCAAGACCTGAACTGAGATCAAGAGTCGGTTGCTTAACTGAGTGAGCCACCCAGGCTCCTCCAAAACCCAGTCTTTAAAAAACATCTCAGCCATCTCTTTCTAAGAAGTGTTCTCATAAATGACGGACACAGTAGAAAACCTCTTAGAGACACAGAATGCTACAGTAAGTGAGGTTCCAACGAATCTCTCATTTCCTCATTGCACAGCTACAATGAGCACAAAAAAAGCACTGTGGGGTCACTTGGGGGGCCCAGCCAGTTAAGCATCTGACTTCTTTTAAAAATTTTTTTAATGTTTATTAATGTTTATTATAGGACATTAAAAAGACATTAAAGGGATATTCTAAATAATGTTGTGCCAAGGAACTCAACAATTTAGATGAAATAGATGAATTTCTTAAAAAACATAAACATCAGGGGTGCCTGGGGGCCTCAATCGGTTAAGCGTCTGACTTCAGCTCAGGTCATATCATCACAGTTCATGGGTTCAAGCCCCACGTCGGGCTCTGCTGACAGCTCAGAGCCTGGAGCCTGCTTCAGATTCTGTGTCTCCCTCTCTCTCTGCTCCTCCCCTGCTCTCACTCTGTCTCTCTCTCAAAAAATAAACATAATTTTTTTTTTAAAGCATAAACATCAAAAATCATGAAGAAAAAAAGAGATACCCTAGATAAATCCGTATCTACGAATGGAATATAATTTGTATTTAAATGCCTCCTCATGAAGAAAAGTACAGGCCTAGATGGCTTCACTGGTGAATTCTTGAAGCACGTGAGGAGAAAGCCCAATTCTACACAAACTCTTCTAGAAAAATGCAAAGAAGGGAACATTCCCCAACTCATTCTAGGAGGACAGCATTACCCTGAGGAAAAAAACAAACTTACAGATTAGGATCCTTCATGACTAAGATACAAAAACTCAACAAAATGTTAGCAAGTTACATTGAATACATAAAAAGGATACTACATCACAACCAAGTGGAACTTATCCCCAAACAAAGGTCTGTAAGGTTTAACATTCGACAATCAACAATATAGTCCACCATGTTTACAAACATGAACATCATCTCAATAGTTATAGAAATAGTTATTGAAAATAGTTATAGAAATAGTTACAGAAAAGCCTTTGAGAAAATTCAACATCCATTCATGACAAAAACACGCAGCAAACTAGCAGTTGGAGTAGAAGGAAGCTTCCTAGACAACAGACCTAATGGTGAAACCTCAAGGCTTTCCCCTTGAGGTCGGAAGGCAGGGGAAGAGGTCTACTCGCTCCAGAGGCCGGAGGGCCCAGCAGGGCAAGAGGAGGCAGGAAAAGGAAGTGAAAGGCACCCAGATCGGACACACAGAAAGAAGTAGAAGTGACATAATTAGCAGACAACATGACTACCAGGTAGAAGCCAATCCTAAAGTATTCACAAAAAGCTATGAGAATAATCAAATACAATAATATAATATCCACATACAAAAATCATTTGCATTTCTAGATACTAGTAATCAAAAGTTGAAAACTGAAAAAAAATTATGTATCAAAAAGTATGAAATACTTAGGGATAAATCTGACAAAGATGTATCAATTATGGTGATGAGTCCATAAACTGTACTCTTTAAATCTGGGCACCTCTTTGTACGTTGGTTATATTTCAACAAATCTATTAAAACAATGCAAATAAAATACCTCGACTTCAAGGTCCTGGCGCTTGGGATTGTGAATGAAGAAGGTGAAGTTTTCTTCCCATACAGGTTCATTGGTTTTGTACCGAATCTGAAAGAAATAACCAAGTATCAGCTCTGTGGTATTTTCTGTGGAAAAGGGCTACCAAGACTGTGGTTATTCATTTATTGTGTTTGGAAGCTTAGGACTTTAATTAAATTCCAAGACACTTATTTGCTGAGCATGTGCTGTGTGTTAATTGTGAAAAGTGTTCAAAGATGGAGACAGTCCAAAGCTTTTAGAGTGTGTCAGGGAAACTGACAGTTATGAAATCCCAACCTCTGAGCCCATCCCAATGACAAGAGTTCATCTGCTTGGTTTGGCCTTTGTTCTACTATTTTCCCAGGGACCACATAATGCTAGAAGTCAGGAAGCTTCCTAAATTGTGAACATTTTAAAGCGAACAATGGCCTGTAACTGTAAATAATCCCTGAAATATTTTCTTTTAAATTAGGAAAGTGGAACACATTACAACAACAGCAATGCCCTCTGAATGCCACAGAATTGTGTTTGTTGAATTTTAAGGACTGCTGGTTATCTTTCAAACAAAATATTTATAGAGCATTCAAAGAAAACTTAGAAATTTATACCATGTCATTTATCCATGAAACCAAGCAAAAGCATATTATGTCATTTTTAAAATTTATTTTTTGAGAGGGAGAGAGACAGTGGGGGAGAGGAGGGGGAGAGAGAAAGAGAGACAAACTGAGCTACCCAGGCACCCCCCTTTTTTTTGTTGTTGATATTTTTAAACTGTTTAAACAATACATTCGTTACCCAATAAAGAAGTTCGTTATCTGGGAACTAACTGATTTGAGAAAACGAGAGGAAGATATGGAAATCAATGCCTCACGCCTGCACTAGCAGCCCGCTGACAGTCCCCACCTAAGACCAGTAACAGTGACATCATAGGAAACCGGTCAGCACTTCCTCACCTTGCTCTCCTGGGCCTTGTGTCCAACTGACATCTGGACAAGAGGGTTTGGATTGCTGTTTATTTTCTTCCCTGACTATCCAAAAACAAACAAACAACAAAAAATAAGACAAAATAAGTAAACATACATCTTGAACTGGGGCTTACTAAAAATGAAATTAGTGGCTCATATGAATAGTCCTTTCTAATTAATTCTGACACTTCAGTTACAGGAACTATCTGGGAACAATTTAACTGGAAAATAATTGCTGAGCATATCCAAAGCCATAATTGGGTCTACCATGAAATAAATTAAGAAAATTCCTATTTGCATATGATTTTTAAATGCTAAGGCCTTTTATTTTTAAAGCAAGCTAGTTTGGAAAAATGCAAACTTCTAAATATCTTTAATGCTAATTCCAGCTCTCAAAACTCATGTTACTAGGATAAGAAAATAAGTGCAGCAAATGGAAACAAAAGCATGAGGAAGGACAAACATCTGGAACATACACTTCTGAATAGTCCCCTGGTGGGAATAATAAACACACTACAAAGTATCAGAGACATATCTTCACATTTTTAACTTCGTACCTTCTGTGCAAACATGTAGCTATCAGATATCACTTCTTGCTTACCAGCTCCTAAGTAACTCTGACCGGAAGAATAAACATCAATCTAGAACTGCATTAAATTAAGCAGATACAAATATAATGAGAGAAACTCAGGAATAAGAAAACAAATGGTGAGAAGCATACCTGAGCAGACAGGTGACAGAACATAGTGGGACACAACATACATGGGACATGAGGTTTATTTCTAACTTAGCCCCACAAGAAGATGCAGTTAAATATCTGTGTTAGTGGGAATTAATTAGGTCACAAAAATGTTTTGTTGTTGTTGTTGTTAAACAATTTTAGAGTCAATTCTTAACACTACAGCAATGATAGAAATAGGTGTCAAATTCATAGGATTATCGGAATATTATTAGCCCAAACATATGGTGATAATCTATCTTCTGGTTCATCTTTTTGGTGTGAATAAATTCTGCAAAACGAAATAAACACCATTAAAAAAGGAAACATCCAAGGTTATAAACTACTGTGGCAGAGAATACGAACTCTTCGCCTAAATCCTTCCTTTACCACTGGAACCTGGAGTTCCAGGTGGGCACGAGTCCTCTGCACATGAAAATTCTATTTCCCAACTTCCCTTGCAATTGGGTGTGGCCAGGATGGGGGGCTGGCCTCCAGTGAGGGCGCCCCCCTTTGTGGAGCCACTTTGGCTGGAGGTGCTGAGCCGCGGGGCCAAGGCCAGGGTTCTGCTACGCTGGAGGGAATGAAATCGTCCTCATATAGCAGCTGCTTTGATACAGAAATTGCTTCTTAGCTAGGGTAAGTCACTTCATCTCTGAAAAAGCAGCTGTTTCACTCCTAAAGTTTCTGTGCCTTATCAATTTTGAGACACAATTTTTCTTTTTTTACCTTTCTAACATCTCTTGAAAAATTTATGGACCTGTTTCGGGGCGGATCCCAATTGGTACACAGTTGTTCTTGCCTTAACCAATTTATTTTGCTTCTATCTTCCTTTTGTTGTGTGCATGACATAACAAAAATCTGTATTTATCCTGAGTCTAACAATTCTTCCAGTAGACACAAACACTATCAAATCTTAATGGAGCTTTTCTTTCTTAGTGGCACCTAAAATAATGGTGTATTTTTAAATGAATGATGTTCCAGATTCTATGAAAGACGTTAAATCGTTAAGTCTTGTACCACAATGCAGTAGTCAAAATGCATCAGCCCCAGTCAGATACACAGGTATAATGAAAGTATGGGTTTTTATTTTATCTTTTAACATTTTACTTTTTAATTTTTTATATGAATTTTAAGTAGGCACCACAACCAACGTGGGGCTTGAACTCACGACCCTGAGATTAAGAGTCGCACACTCTACTGAGCCAGTCAGGCATCCCGAAAATGTGAGTTTAAGTTAGACTGTCTTGAATTAAGTTTCAGTGGTTTACAACTCATTGTTGAGACCTACATGTTTCATCTATTTGAACTTTGGTTTTCATGTCTAAATAATGGCCACAATGCCATTTCCAAGGCCCTGCCATTACACTTAAATGAAACGGTAAAATAACAATTAAAATGTACACATTATGCCAGCTACACTGAGCACTTTTTACACGCGTGATCTTATTTAATTTAGTCGATACTCCTAAAAAGATCCTATCACTTCCAGTCTATAAGTAGCAGAGGACCGGACATCTCACTACAGGTTATACTGAGGAGTTGGGCAAGGCTGCAGTTCAAACCCAAACAGTCTGACTTAGAGCCTTCATTGCAACCGTTTCGTCTCGCTGGTCAATGATCCCCAGACATCAAAGAAACAGTGAGGAAAGACTTGATCTAATCCCTTCCAGTGTTACTGGAGCGGTTACTTCAACTACTGTGCTGACCACTACTGCAAAGGAGTAACTCACTGCTGGGTCACACCTCATGGCCTCAGTACAGGTGAGGACTTAATAAATTTACAGCGGAAAGCAGACATTTTGTCAGTCTTCTTCACTCAAAATTTAACTTCTTTTTCTAGATGAAGCTGATTCAAAACCATTCCTTCGGACAGAATTTTCTTGAGACCATTATATTTAAATCCTCACTTCAATATTTGATCCTAAAATGTTCGAAAGAATCAGAAAAAAAATAATAAAACACTATAAGTCATAGAAAACTTTTAACAATTTGGCCAGAAAATACATGTTCATGTTGTTTTAGGGAGTGGAGCTTAGTTTTCAATATACCTCATTTAATGAAACTTAAAGCTTCTCAAAAGATCTGTCACCCAAACCCAGCAGCACCAAAAGCCATGAGGTCACCGACTGAGACGGCCCTAACTCAGCATATTGGAAGAGGTGATTTCTAAATGGATAGTCACAGTGCACAAGGAATACCTTGAAATCATAATCTAAAGATTGGTTATGTTTTTAAATAGACCTTCTATTTCACCATTTTCACCAATTCAAATCCAATTAAAATGCAGAGGATTTAAAAGTACCTTAGATACTGCTGCCTGAGGCCAACAAAACAGAAGTCTAATTTACCATATTGGTACTTTATAAAATTTATCTTCAAAGCTGACTTAATTTCTTCTAACTACTAATTCTTGGGTAAACAAAAAAGGATCCAACTAGACAATTAATTACTATATTAGTATGGGAGGCAGTTTGTCAATAAACCCATGTGAGTTAAAATATCATCTCTTTCAATATGTTTCAATTAAGTTTTCAAAGGGAAACTATTAGTTTACCTTTAAAGCTTTCTGAACTGCAGACTTCTTCAAGACATCAGGGTTAAATTCTAATGGGTTACTCTTTCAAGTCAGAAGAAAATGAATATACCAAGGGTTAATAAAACATGCAATGAGGAGTTTATGTAAGGTTAATAATGACACGAAAATTTATGAGAACAAACAAAAAAATCTTTAAATGAAAACCACCAACAAGAATGACACAGTAAAAATCATTTGTAGCACATACAATTCTTCTTTGTGCCCAAGATTTTATCTTAGGATAAACCTTTAATCTATAAATATCAAAATACGTTTCCTCTGATTACTGTGATCCTTTACGATTACTGTTCTTTCACTCCCACCCCTCTTGTCTTTGGGATATGAAAAAATCCAGGAGTGACACTTTAAGAAAGGGTTCTGTTTACTATTCTTAACCTGAATAAACTCATGAAGACATCACCCACAACAACACTAAAGGTTTTATCTGACGTACAAGTGGATGGGCTCAAGATACCCACGTGGCTCTCAAGCCAAATCACACCCCATACGAGCAGCTGACCCTTCCCTTGCTTCTGAACTTTACCTTCGTGCAAAACCACAGCAGAAGTGGGCCTTTTCCACTTCACTGCCATTCTCTCCCGAGTATCGAAGGCAGGAGCTGAACACTTTGTTTCAAAAGTGTATCCTGGCTTTAAAGTTCTATTATTATGGGTTTTATGTCCTAGTTTCATTGACTTTTTTTTTTTTCCATATCATTACTTTCTTGCCTTCAAGAGGACAAGGCAGAGCTGTCTGTAAGCTCCTTCAAGGACTGACATTTAACATGGAAGATGTTATCATTTTGGCTGTAATTAATTTCAAATGACAAACTGCTTTTTGTTATGTTTTTATTAAACAGCAGACATCATGGTGAAGAAAGATGGACAGCCAGCTTCCCAGCCTCCGGTGGCCATGGCAGGCTGGGCCAGATGAGAAGACGGAACATCCAGCCAAAAGGAATTCATGTGACATAAAGGCCAGACCACTGAGGCGGCCTGTGGAGCTCTAAACACTGGACCCACCAGATGGGCCAGGTGAGGCTGGGAACCACCGCCCTGACATGTGAGGACCGCCAATCCTCAGGTGTCACGGAAACCTCTGCTGAAGCTCACTTTGGGTAGGTGTGATGCACATCTCATTCTAACATGCACAACGAAAGCAAAAGTGAGGAGAGAGGCCGTGGTGTGGGTGGCAGAGCTAGAGAAGCGCTGTGAGATCGTGGGGGGCTGCACAGGCTCGAAAGAGAGACGGGCCAGATCACATGGGGACACTGGGAGGGGGCCAGCGTCGGCCCGGACGTCACGGCACCTTCCAGCCTCGGGCTGCTCCCCACAACTGGAGGCAGTAATAACCTGCAGTGTAGCCACCCGGACTTTTTAAAGATTTGTATTTTTACGTAATCCGACACCCGATGTGTGACTCGAACTCACAACCTTGAGATCAAGACTCACACGCTCCACTGCAGCCAGGTACACCCCCTTTTTGTTTTTAAAGACCTTAAAGTAATGCCACCTGTACTTTTTACAAGTGAAATGGCACCTTGCATCATCACACCCAGTGATCTTGCTACTGTGTACCAAGTATCCAATTTTACAGATACCAAGGAGGCAACAGTGTGAACACTCATCTCAGATAAACCCCATGGACAGCTCTGTGAACTCACAAACCTGAAGTGGTAACAACCTCACTCTACACTAGCATGGGGTAGACAGGAGGGGTCACAAGGCAGAGTTCAAAGCCCAGCTCTGGTACTGACTAGCTGCGATCTTGGATCTCTAACCTCTGTCCCTCACACTCTCTGTGCTGCCTCAGCTTCCTTATCTGAAAAGTGATGTGATGGGGAGATTAAACAGGGCGGACAGGGAGAGCCCTTGGAAGGTGTTCAGCAAATGCGTGTTACTATGTAAGTCTCAGGTTCCCAGGTTGGAAAGCTGGCCACTGGAAGCCAGAGAACACCCTCGGCGCTCCAGGGTCACATTCAGCTCCAAATCTGATCAAAACAGGAGGGCAAAGTGCCGACAGTCTATATCGTCAAGAGACTGTTTCCACACGGGAGAAAGTCCTATAGTGAGTGCCAAAGGTTCCCAGATGGCGGTAATGCATGCATGGGGCTGCAAATTAAGTATCCTGAGTAGGTAGAAGGTACAAGACCAACGGGGCTGGCCTTTACCAGAAATACCAACAGTCTCAGCCTTTGGGGGAAAATGGAGAAAGCAATGATTTAACCTGACGATGAAATCCAATTTTCTTTAAAAAAGAAAAAAGGCAATCAAATCTGGTCAAATTAATCTCATAAAACACTGTGCTGATGCCTATGATTGAATCACTAAGCAGCACTACTGTATGATTTTGATAATGTGGGAGGGAAGTTGGTTTTGATAAGCTAGCAATGTCTTAGCTCAAGATCATAAAGCAATTAAAAAATCCTGACACAAGGTCAGAAATATTTCCCTTTAAAGAAAGCAATTACAGAATGAGAAAAGGTAACTTAGAAAAACCACTGCAGACTAACAGAGTTTATGCAGGAGGGTCACACTGTTGTCCACAGCAGCTTACAACCGTCACTAAGAAACACCCAAAATATAAAGTCATTTCATAACTCGAGAGTTATAGAGAATGTTTGCCAACACGTACCAGTGACCTCATCTTGACTTTGAAAACACCTCAAATAGCAACAAGCAAGGAGAGTGAGGAAGGAGACCATGGTTACCATTTCCTACCCACGTGACTCTCAATAGCTCACTTAACCCATCAGGGTCTCCATGTCCCTCACAGATAAAATGGGGCAAAATACCTATTCTTCAACTTTTGCCCCACCCTTCTTTGATAAGAATACACTGAAAGTGCACGTGGAAACAGAAATGAAATCTCTTCGAGAGCACAAAGCATTACTACCACTGTTAGATTCAAGGGCTGAAGAACTTTATGAATCTCACTAAGTTATTGAATTAAATCAGCCTAGAAAGAGTAACTTTCTAGACTAATGACTAAGCCATCGGTGACTTTCTTTGACCCTAAAGCAAGTAAAAACAACTGTCTGCTACAAGCACCAAGAACAGTAGTACCAGGGATCAGGGCCCCAGAGCAAGACCCCAGGAAACAGACGTAAGAAGATCAAAGTCAGCTTCCCAAATAAGTGGGTTAGAAATGCTCAGTTACCCTCTCCTGGATATTCTTTAAGTTCCTTAAAAGAAGCTGAATCATAAACTCAATGTATTTTGTTCTCCTTTAGGAGCTCTGGTTAAAAAGAGGAGAAGGCACGTTTCCAGGGCAACAGGTGGACATCCGTCTTCACTGACCATCCCCACAGGTACAGCTGGCACTTCAAGGAAGGCCAAGTTCTGACACTTCTGTGTTTCCTCAGGAGGGAAAAGGAGATCTAAGGACGTTTTCTGAAAGCTTGCAAATAAACATTTACATCTTACATTGAGATGAACCCTCAGAAAATCGGCTTTAATTATTATGGTTTCATTTTCCCCTCAGAATTTTTATCTTTATTTTTTTACGGGCCAGTAGCAGCTTAGGAATGTCAGGATTCTTCACGACTCACCAGATTTGTTCATCTCATCATCAGATGTAGTCACCAAAGTTGGTTACAGCGGTGTTACTTTTACAAAACAAGCACAAAAGAAACACACGCACAGTAACTGAAATCATGCAAGAAAATTAAAAAAGCATGCCACATCATTCCACCATTGAATAGATGGCATTAGAAGTTCCAGCCCACATTCTAGCAGTCTCCATTAAAACAAAAGGAAGAAAGAACACTGGAGAACTCACAAATAGTGCTCTATAGACTGAGGTAGTATTTTCACAAAACACTAGTCCCGACGCTCGCCTCTCTTTTAAGTAGCCACACCCAAAGTTTCCCTCGTAGATACTCTTAGGAGAGTGGAAACAGGAGGAGAAAGCAAAGAATGGTGGACCGCGGTCAGTGAACGCACAAGAAGCACTAATAAACAGGATTGCAAAAGGCAGAGTCAAAGCATCCCACAGAAACGCAGGAGAACCGGTGGGCAAACGCTGTCGTTTAACTTAAACACCCGAGAGGGCAGCGGTTTTGCAAAGATCCTTTGCCTCTGACAGACAGAGCAAACTTCATGCACAGAGTGCCATTTTAATAAAAGGTTAATAAATTCATTTTTGCTTTTGTTTTGCTTACGTGGTATTACTCAAATTTCAATTTAATGACAAAATACCCACACTTCGAAAGAGGCCTAATTCTTTCTTGCCAATTCACTTAATACTATTCTCCGTATCCTAAAATATATAACAAATTCACTTCCATCAGGCATTATAAAAGACTGTAAAACAAACATTACTGTGATTAAAAACCAAAAAGTTCTACTGTATGAGAAATTCTGCAGGAAGGTTAAATAACAACAAAACAACTTTCCCCAAATTGAGATCGTTAACGGAAAAAGTCAGAGTTCGAATTGGAAGACTAGCCAAAAGGTTAAGTAACATTTTAAGAAAAATTAAGAATTTATGAAGTTAAAATTAGTCAAGAAACCTTCACTGAAAGAAAGAGTACAGTTGCATATAATTACACAGTGTTCAACTACAGCTTCCCAGTATAAAAACAGATCAATTGCATTTTGTCAAAAACCCTAACTAAAACACAGGGATGCACAAAGTACGTTTACTTTGCTTTGAGCTAAGTGCAAGTGAAGTGCAATTTTCAGAGCTTGAAAGGCACTGGAGGAGAAGTGGGGTGTGCACTCCGTGGGCTTCCGCGGGGAGGTGAGACGAGGACAGTCTGACGTGAGACACTTGGATGCAAACTGTGAAGGGCAGTAAACACTCTGCTTTCTCGTCTGTCTCCACCACGTCGATGCCAACAAGGAGAGGACACAGGGAGACTACATGCAAATGCGCCGGGATGGATGAGCACTTATTACAGGCTTAGCAGGGAAACAGCCCGCAAACCTCAACAGAACTGGTCTGGTGTTTAACACAGTGAAAGAAGGCAGGAATGACCATCCGCTGGGTATGGGAACTGGCACTCAAAAAAAGTGATCAAAACAATGTAACATTTATATAATGATCACATTACCCTAAATAGTGGATTTAAAGTACGGTGGTGGAGGATCCCGTGAGACTTCACACGAACAGAACGGTGGGATTTTTCTTCCCCACAGCTGTGGTCATTACCTATAAAAGCTGCACTTCACAGTGTTTTCTAAGAGCAAACAGTTCTGATGCAAACGAGCAGGGGCTCTCCCTCCGGGCCGTGGGAGCCAAGCGGGACAGGGCACCAGGGGGCTCCAGCCAGCGCCTATCCTACCAGGAGGCTGCCCACCGGCCGTCCTGCCACGCCACAGCCAGAGTGGACTCTGGGGCCGTGGACAGAGCTGCTTTGTTTTATTCCCATGCCAGAGAAGACAATGTCCATCCCTAGGGAACTCCATTTTAATAATTAGTGATTTTCTACGGAGTATCTTCTTCCCTAACTACCAGGCACATCCTTTTCTTATGTAATGGAGATTTCTTCATAAAGCATGTCAGAGTAAAGATAACTCTGAACATTCTGGACAATCACTAAGATGCAAAAACATAAATTACACTCATGAGGCAAATACACACTGACCCCTCCCCTCTGCTGTTCTCCTGGGAGCAATACTGGTGACACGGTGTGGCTCAACACAAGATCTACTGCCGGAAAACGGGCACCCAAGGGAGCTCCCATGGCATTACCTACCGGAAGGTTCCTTGCTGAATCCAAATACAAGATCAGCAACGAAGAGGAAAGACCATCATTGGCTTGGTCTTTGTCAGCCCTGATGTCTGTCAGCACCTACGAGGAAAGGACAAAAAGCCTCAGCAGGTGTGTTTCCAGAAGATTTTAGAGTACTTCTACCTGATTATGTCTGTAATGCTCAAGAAAATAAGAAAGGTGGTGAAATAAACCATCCGATATATGCAACACAGAGAGAATGAAAACACTAAATATATTTTAATGGCAATCTACACAAATCAGGGGCGACTGGGTGAGCAGTCGGTTGAGTCTCTGACTTTGGCTCAGGTCATGATCTCACGGCTTGTGAGTTCGAGCCCCGCGTCGGGCTCTGTGCCGACAGCTCAGAGCCTGAAGCCTGTTTCAGATTCTGTGTCTCCCTCTCTCTCTGCCCCTCCCCCACTCATGCTCTGTGTCTGTCTCAGAAACATAAAAAAATTAAAAAAAAAAACCTACACAAATCAATTAAATAAAGCACAGGTGATCTGCGGCTCGCCAAACCCCCAAAGTATATCAAGCACAAAACGTGAAGATCTCGTAAAGTAGGTGGGAAGGACCTATAAATCCTTCTTTCAAAACATTCCGGTACCTTTAATTTACCCCTGATGCAACTGTAGTGACTTAGAGCACAATAATCAAAATCACTGCTGCAATTTTTGTAAGCCAAGTAGCCATGCAGTCTAGAGATTCTAATCTCAGCTGTCAGGGGAAACACTCCATTACGGCACCTTATCGAGGTTTGAAGCATTTGGCATCAACGTGAGCCACTCCAGTTTCAAGTGCAGCTTTCCTCTTGGGACCTCGTCCAGGGTGAACCACTGAGGAGAGAATGTGAACGTTCACAACAGCTCTCCTGAGTCAGACTTTCCAGTCAAGCAGTTTCCACAAGTGTTACGAGCCGCTCCCTGGGAGGCACTGACTGTTTCTGATTACTGCTGCAGGACGGAGTCCTGCCCGATCTCTAATGAGCTGACGACCCCAGAGAGCAGCCGCTGGAGCCTGGCCAGGGAGGGTGCTGAAGGCTTCACTAACACTACCTCGCTGAACCCTAACAAAACCATGGTGGAGTAAACACTGTTTTCATCCCTAATGGACACACAAGGATTCCAACGTGCTCCAGTCCTGTCCAGCACCATAGAGCTTCTATGTATGGACCTGAATAGAATTCATGGGCCAAGAGATAATACAACATGGATACCAAACAATGAATTTCAATATCAAAGAAATTCACGTTTGCTTTCATTCACCACTATATACTTCTCAATAAAAGAGTATTCAGCTGCTTCAGCTTAAAAATCACAAAGTAATTAATCAAAGCTAGTCCCCAAATACTCGGCGTTCAGGGGCTGCCACAAGCGCACAGGAAGGAGAATGTGTTACTTTGGAACGGTGGATCTCAACATTTGTTTGCTTCCTTATGTCCTGCTTGTCCCAATCACACTCATCTTTTAGCAGCCATCTCAAAATTTTCCTCGCTTTTAACGCTTTTTATTCTGATGGCAATGTCCTGCTTGAAAGCAGTGCCTGCTTGTGAGTTCCCACTGCGTTTGTAGGCGGCGCTCACGTGACAATTTCTCCTCGACCGCACAGTCCTAGCTGTTATACCTCCAGCGCCTCGAAAGCCCACTTTTAGGAAGCTTCTCACAGGCCTCTGCCCTGACTCCCAGAGTGTCGTGCTTGTACTCGTGAATTTCTAACATATGCTGGGCTCTCAATACATACCATCTGACTGGGCTGTCAAACTTCTTTCTTTTCACTTTGCTAACACTGAAGGGCCTAAGTTCTCAGTGTTTGTGAAGTGACCGTTCGGTTCTCGGAACACAGTGGGGACGGGCAGCAGGTCTGTCACAGGCCGTGAAATGGAACAAGAACTCAGAGAAAACTTACTTCATCTAAAAGGCGCTCCTTTTCAACTTCAATAAGATCAATCATAAGACTATGGAAATAATAACACAACAACTTTAGAATATAGAAACATACTTCTTAACACTGAAATAACCTTAAACATCTGTCTAGGAAAAAGTACACGGACATGCATCAAAATGCTATGGGGCGCCTGGGTGGCGCAGTCGGTTAAGCGTCCGACTTCAGCCAGGTCACGATCTCGCGGTCTGTGAGTTCGAGCCCCGCGTCAGGCTCTGGGCTGATGGCTCAGAGCCTGGAGCCTGTTTCCCTCTCTCTCTGCCCCTCCCCCGTTCATGCTCTGTCTCTCTCTGTCCCAAAAATAAATAAACGTTGAAAAAAAAAATTAAAAAAAAAATGCTAGAGTTTATCAACAGACAGACTTCGTTCGGAAGCTTCCTCAGGTTTATCTCAAAACTATGAAGGGAAGAGTAAGGGACAGCGGGGGGTGAGTCTCTGGGAGGTCAGGACCCTCAGTCTGGCCAAGCCAGGATGACAGTTGTAAAAAATGTGGTCTTCCCTATAATGTAGCTATTTACAGAATATGAAAACGCCAAAAATGTGTGGAAATATTCAGCCTTCCTGTCCGACAAGCTCTCCTTTGGTGCTGCCGTCCGTCTCTACAGCCTTCCCATCCTCACTCCTCAGCTCTGGACCATCAAGTATCTGGAGCCCCACAGGGGCCTCTGGCTCAGTCATCTTCCAGAGCCCCTTCTTCCCCTAAACACCCTGCTCTACGAAAAATTGTGGCACTCCCCCCGGAAGCCAGAGATGACGAGGGTGGGAGAAGTCCGCTCCTATTTTCGCTCGTAGCTACCCCTCCTCCTGCCCCTACCCCAGGTCAGACCCTCACAGCTCTTTCCTGGTCGATCACCGTAGTCCCCAGTCTCAGTCCCCGCCACTCTAAGCCACACGGTGGCTCTACTAAAATGCAAAATTGATCTGTTTACTGCCCTGCTGACAATATTTCAGTCGCCCCTTGTTAAACCAGCTCGGGAATGAATTCTGAAGTCACAGAATACACAGGTCATTCTTGATGAGGCTAAGCCTGTCCAATGTCATCTATACCCGTTTCTTGTTGGCCACAAGAAATTCAGCTAAATAATAAAGATCAGGTTTAGATGTATTTTTCTAAAAGCTCATTTCTTCAGCTGTACTGGTTGTTCAATTTAAGTATACAAATCAGTATTTATTTTTCCAATGTGTAGGCACAATGTAAATTATTATCCCCCCTGCTCCCTAAAAAACTCGACAAACTGAAAACGTTTAAAACCTCATTTCTACACCCTAGAGGGGAGCTGCCTGTGCGGTGTGAAAGGCGGAGAGCTGCACTGGCCTTTGGGGCCACGCTCTGATGTGGCTTATGAGCACTTAAATGGGGCCGAGTACAACCACTGAAGCGAATTTCAAATTTTGTTTAGTTTTAATCAATTAATTTAAATAGCTACACTCAGCTAGTGGTTGCTGTGATGGTCGTAGATCTAGAATTTTCCTTCTTATACTTAAATGTGAGAGAAATAAAACATACCTCGAGAAGTCTAAAGTGAAACAAATGTTGTATCTAAGAGCCACTTAACAATACACGTTACATACACATACACCTATTTTTCAAAGCTGCGGTAGTTTTAAGTGTGACTACTGGGAAGAGTGTTCTCCTCGCCTCAGGGTTTACCTTCCTAAGAAGTCATCCTTGTCCGGGTCTTCGTCAAAGAGCTCAATCTCTAATTCCTGTCCGGGATGTTCATAGACTAAAGCCTGAAAAAATAACGAGTGGTAGTTATCTTACATTTTTACTAACGTCGGCACCTGCTGAATATGAGGATTATGGTAAAGAGCACCGTACTAGTTTTCTCTTAAGTGGTTAAGCACTTACATTTTCTCATTGTCAAACCACATACGCTTCTCCGTGGGAGATCATTTTGAAACACCTGCCCACATAGTCTACTGTGTTTCCAGTTACCTGGGATTAGTCTCACCGAGTCAAATTCCACCGCTCAGGAAGGAGGTCACAAGACAGCACCCACAAACAGAACAGGTTAGCACACCTTACTAGCCCTGAAGTGGCTGTGTTCAAGTCCTGTTCTTGGGATAACTACTAGTGACCCACGTACCACCACTCAGAGATTAAGCCATCTGGCAACAGCCTGGACCGGAAGGATGGGAAGCTGGTGACGTATAAGCCACACAACTGTTCTGAAGAACAATTCTGCAAAAATGTATCACTCCTTTACTCAAATTGTACTTCATGACGCAGCAATAACACCTTGACGAGCTTCTTTGGAGAAAACTTGGTCAAGTGAAGAAAAATATATTCCTATGACATTGTTACAACAGCGGTTCTAATGCTGGAATAAATAGTCAAGATCTCTTTTGGGTAAAGAAGTGAATGGCAATCACAAATCGGGTCCATCTGTATTTACTAACATGTAGAGATGTCCAGATGTATTAAATGAGAATTTACAAAATGATACATAACTGATCTCGTATTTGTATGTTTACATATGTTAACCACATAAAACATTTTTCCCATGAAAAATATTCTGCCAATTACGTATTGCGATGGTTTAATGTCATCAAGGTTTAAAATTTATGTGTCGGCATGACAATAATATTGGGAGGAAGGGACGGAAAGGGGCAATGCTTTTTAAAGATGGGAAATTAAAGCAAAAATGATTTAAATTACCCTCTACACCAACCACACTCCTGTGTTAACAGGAGCGGACTCAGAATTTGGAGAAGCCAGGCGACACCACTGGGCACATCTTACCTCGTATACCTCGTTCCACTTCGGACTGAGGTTCTCTTTGATTACTTTGCTTTGGAAGATCTGGTTGCCGACTCGAATAATCCCATAGGGGTCCGACTTTCCCTTGACGAGTCCCTTAAGGTAAGTATCTTTCCCCTGAAGGTCCTGAGCTTCGATAAAATGTATCCTTAGGACACCCTGAGAGAAAAGGAGAACCCGTGGACTGTTCACTGGTTCACGTGACAGGGAACAACGCTGTGCACACTCACCGTCCTAAAAACAGGACGGAAGGGAGCGAAACAAAGACCCTCTTGTCGTGCGGCAAAGCAGAAAGTAAACGTGGAGCACGCAGGTGGCAGCGCTGAGGAAAAACCAAAGCAGCACCAGATGACGGCACTGGAGTGGTACTATTTTCAGTCAGGAGACCAGACCAGGGAGAACGAGGTGGGAGTCGGTGGCCCCATGGTGACACTGTGCTCCAGGAGCCTGAGTCACAGAGCCTTACGGGTCACCAACACAGCCCTATGGTTCGGTGCTACAGTAATTGGTAACCAACAGAGGATGTCTCAGACATGATACTAAGCCCTTCATATGCAATGATTACTTCCAGTTTTAGAACAATCCTATGAAATACAGTCGGCCTTGGAACCACATAGGTTTGAACTATGCAGATCCACTCAAACGTGCATTTTTTTTTTTTTTTTTTTTTTTTTTTTTTGAGAGAGAAAGAGGGTGCAAGTGAGCAAGGGGCAGAGAGAAAGGGAGGGAGAGAGGGAGAGAGGGAGGGGAAGAGGGAGAGAGAGAAAAGAGGGGCTCGAGCTCACCCAAAGCGGGACTGGAACTCACAGACTGTGAGATCATGACCTCAGCCAAAATCAGATGCTTAACCAACTGAGCCACGAGGCACCCAGGATTTTTTTCACTAAATACAGTAAAATGCTATGAATGTATTTTCTTTTCCTTATAATTTTCTTAGTAACATTTTCTTTTCTCTAGCTTACTTCATTATAAGAAAACAGAATAGAATACATAGAACATATAAAATACGTGTTAAATGCTCATGTTATCAGTATGGTATCTGGTCAACAGCAGGCTGTTGGTGCAGTTCTGGGGGAGTCAGAAATCATGCCGACTTTCTGCACAGGGGTTGGTGCCCACACCCATGCTGTTCAAGGGTCAGCTGTATGTCATTAAATGTAGTTTATAGAGAAGGAACTGAAACTTTGAAATACACATTTACTCATAGACGTTAAACACAGTTTTCTTTTCCTAAAATGTTGTTTAATAGGTAAAATAAAAAATATCCATTCACACTTCTTTCAAGGCAAACAATGGTGGTAAAGTTAACATGGAGCAGCATTCTCCTCTCTTTAAACAACCTTTTTTTTTTTTTTTTGTAGAATTTTTTGAATGTTTATTTATTTTTGAGAGAGAGAGACAGAGAGAACGAGCAGGGGAGGGGCAGAGAGAGAGGGAGACACAGAATCCGAAGCAGGCTCCAGGCTTCGAGCTGTCAGCACAGAGCTCAACATGGGGTTTGAACCCATGAACCATGAGATCATGACCTGAGCCAAAGTCGGATGCTTAACTGACTGAGCCACCCAGGCGCCCCTTAAACAAACACTTTTAAAATCACTGGGCAATATTCCTGACCCCATCAGCTAGGAAGACATGCATTTTTACAGATAAATACACTTTTAAAAACTTAGAGAATTTTCTGTTTACATTTTCATGTGCGTAAAGTTTAGATAATCTGGCAACATGTTTAAGTAGTGCTGACTTTTAAACCCAAGGTTAAGGAAGGCTGGCTTTGGGCACGGCTTCAGTACTCACCGTGCTCAGAGAATAAAAAGTATAAGACGCAAAGGAGCATGAGGATTTCTACATGGAAAAGAATTCTTGCATTTTCAGAGATGAAAATTGTAAATTAAAGAAAAATGACATTTCTCATATGTAGTGTTCCATTAAACCTGAATGCCCATGTTATAACTAGTTTGGGCACCAATTAGCTGGGGTGTTGGTACTTTTAAAAAATATAAGAAAGCTTATAGGTGTTTGAGGATTTGTGCACTGTTACAGAGATCCAGCTTAACTACAAAAACGTAACAAACATCAGGGAAAGGCTGTCTCCTACTTCAGGAAGAACACTGAACACAACACCTCCACTGAAAGAGGACCAATTCCACACTTTCTGTTGAGTAAAATCAACTTGGGGCGCCTGGGCGGCTCAGTCAAGTGTCTGACTTTGGTTCAGGTCACGATCTCACAGTTCATGGGTTTGAGCCCTGCATCGGGCTCTGTGCTGACAGCTCAGAGCCGGGAGCCTGCTTCAGATTGTGTCTCCCTCTCTCTCTGCCCCTCCCCTGCTCATGTTCTGGGTCTCTCTCTCTCAAAAATAAGTAAACATTAAAAAAAAAAAAATCAGCTGTCCTGTGTGCATCAGTATCACACTCATTACAGACAGGAGTGCAGACAGACTACACGGATGGGGGTAAGGAGCAAGCAGGAAAAGCTCTGTGAAAATTAATTAAAGGAAACCTTTAGAATGGGGTCGGGAGGCCAGCACTGGGAGGGCTCAGGCACCACCACTCCACTGTCCACTGCAGACCCGACGGGAAGAGATGCACCTTCCACGTGATACTATTTTGCCAGCCCGGCAGGAGGAAGGAAGGTCTCCTCCTCCCCTGGCGACAGCTCAGCTCACGAGCAGCCACCACACTTCGGGCTCCCAGTTCACCCCTCCCGGCTCCCCCTTTCCTCTGTGAAAGAGCCTCCTCTCCTCTGTTCTGCAGAATCACCTGTGGTTTTGCCACAGCTTAATTGTCCCAGACGGCAATTCTCTGCCGTTCCTGAAGAAACCCATTTTTGCTGGTAAAATAACTGGGGGTTTTATCTTTAAGATTAACAGTTCTCACTAACCTGTGAGGGCCTATCCACTCCAAGCACGTGTCTGACCATTAGAGGGAATTCTAGGTCCTTGACCGGCAAGTTCTCAGTCGTGGGATGAGGCTGCTTAGTCTACTCAAATGAAGGTGACTCCAATATCTGTGACCTAACTCTGTGCTAGGCACCATCCCCAATTTATAGATGAAGAAACGAGGTCCACACATGCCAAGTAATACACCCCAAGACCAAAGCTGCTATTAAGCCCGAGGGCTGTGCTCTGAGACCGAGGCCTGCCTTCCCATTTCATCCAGGGCAGTTGGTAACAGCAGCACTGCTTCTGCCCTGTTCAACTTATTCGAGGACTCGAGATGACCATATTCTCATCTCTGAGAGAAAACGTGTACCAGTCATTACACAAAGTTCCCATCGCGTACTAAGCTCTTAGATTCTGTTATTACAAATAGTATATGCTTTCTGAGATGACAACTAAGTTGTCACAGCTGTCCTTTAGGACTTGCAGAATAGCATTTGCAGGATTAAATCCCTATAAGCACCTTGGATGTTCACGGCTGAGGATTAAGAATTGCCCTTAAGTTTCTGTGATGTACCTTAGCCAATCCCTCAAGAATTGTGACAGGCCAAACTATCACATCCAGATCCATGTGGCAAGGTCACTGCTAAGAGAACCACAGCAAGTTACAACACCCAAATATGCGATAGGCCGTCCCATATCTACACCTAAGTGCTAACAGGGGCGCAGGCATACTTACCTTTGGTATAGGAAACCGCAACTGTGCTATTTGAACTTCACTGACAAGAGGAACGGTGATCCGATTGGGAAGCACCAGATAGTTTGATATTATATCCAGAATGATGGTATCTGACAGACCACTATTAGGAGGGCAATAAAAAAGAACAAACCAACTATCAGGCACATCAATAGTAGGTCTTGCCTTTAATAGCAAAGGTAAGCACAAACATGATCTAATATCCCATTTACAGGGTTGGAGTTGTCGAATTTCTCCAAAACAGTATTTAAAACAAGCATTTTAAGGCAGTAGCTGTGATATGGCTATTGTGACCATTATGTGGGATGTATATGTGTATGTACACAAACACGCACACACACACACGCGCGCGCGCGTGTGTGCATGTATAGTTGAGATATATAGTTGAGTAGAGCTGAAAACACAAGGTAATATATTCTGGCTACATTTCATAATATTCTAAATGTTTCATACATTCTATGTAACTTTATCATTGACCTAATACTAAGATACATTAAATTTTTTTTTAGCATAAAATATTTCAAACGTCCACAAAAGTGCAGAGAATACCATAACAAACATCCATCTACTCATTCCATGTTTCTAACATTAAATTTCTCTCTCATTATATGTCCATAGATCCCAATGAGGTAGAAGAATTTACAGTTTATTCTCTTCACACTGTATTTGGGTACTCACCACTGTAATGATTTTGAATTAACTACTGCCCAGAGAACTCAGTAATATGTATAAAAGCAGTGGAGGATAAAGAAACCAATGTACTTTTGATATATTTTTGCCTACTCTTTGGGATAAATTTGAGAATTAAGCAGTATGTATGTGACAACATTTTTGAAAGCGCATGTAAATGAAGTTTCATTGCTATGGAAGAACGCCTTTAACCAGAACTGAAAAGTTTTTAAGAGAGTTTTACTTCTTGCCAGGACTTTTCAGATGTTACAATTATTAACATAAATGTGTAAAGTAACCGTACATATAAAAATAGCCACTGGGACAGAGTGGAAGTCACTGTTGTTCAGTGAGTAATAAAAACCGAATGTTCACTGCAAGCTGGGCATCCAAATACAACGACGAGGCACAGGGCTTACCTTACTTAGAACGTTTCCATTCATGACGGAAAAAGGACTGAAAACCCACAACCCCACAGACAATGCGGACAACAACTCTCTGAAAAGGTCGGCTAATCAGACGTTAACACGCCACAGAGACTCAGAGGGTTTCAGGCGGCAGACACCGGATACGTGTTTGCTACGCAGCGGTGTGAGGCGGTCCTCGGGGCTTGGATGCCGGAGCACTTCTTACTCCGGGCATCCCCCACCCCCTCCAAAATACTGGTTTTGTTTCTGCTGAAAAAAATCTGCTGAAGCAGAGAGCCCTTCGATGACGACTTGCTTTCAAGAATCCCCTAGCTGCTATGGTGACAGGCTGACCGCCTCACCACCCGCCCAGCTGTGCAGACTCCGGCCCAGCACCCAGGAAAGCAGCAGAAGGCCCACCCTGGTGCCTCACCCCTGCTCTCCTTTCTATCCCCCTGTGCACAGGTCCAGGCTCCTCCAGAATTTCCCGAGCTGCGGTGCTGCTCCCGGCTGCCCCTCTGCTTGTCCCGGCTGCTGTCACGATCTTGTCACACTGGAAGGGCTTCCTATCGTGTCCAGTCCTCTTTGTCCTTTGGAACTGCTGCCTCTTTACCTCACTTTTGTTTCTATCCTAATTCTCATTCCTTAGGATCCCTGTAGGGCTCTTCGTTGGAACATGTGGGGATAGTCAAAATTTAAGCTAAAGCGCAGCAATTCAAGCATTATTATCTTATGATACCTTTCGTTTTCATAATCAATGAATACAGCATGTAGAGGTTCATTTTATAATGCTCAAGGCGAGATTTCATTATATTAGGTTCAAAGTTACTATTTACTTTTATAACATAAAATACAAAATATTATATAAATACAAAATACAAATACAGAATGTTGTATATTATATAAATTTTACAGAATTATGTATAAGTTATATATATTATATATGAATACACAATTTTACTTAAAAAGATGTTTTTATATATTCCTTTTATACCATAGCTTTTTTTTTTTTTTT